TCAAGCAGTGTATGGCACACACGCCAGATATTTAAGTAAGCATTCTAAACATCATTAAGATAGCTACAAAAACATATGCAGAAATACTTTAGCAATGCTTTCTCTTGTACAGCTTGAAACAAATTCTTAACACATTAATGCCTCCAATGATCCCAATAGAATTATTTAAGAAAGTTTCAATTTGGCCCAGTATCTCTTTGCTTTCTAATTACAAAATATTTTTGCATTCCTGGGAGATGGTATGTAATACTTATATTGCAAAATAATTATCTGCCACTCACAGTCCCTTAATTCAAATGGGTAAATAACTGTAACCTCCATGGCACACAGATCTTTAGCAGAGAAAGTCCAAAGCAATTAAATGAAAGTAGAACAAAAGACCAACACGAACCTCAGCAATCTGTGTGCAGTGTGAGGTACCCATCTTTGAACTTTCCCCTCTGCAAACCAAAATTGAAAACTCCAAAAGTCTATACCAAGGCAAGACAATTACATATGCTCATTTGTCCCCTCAGTAAGACATCATGAGCAGGCATATTAAATACTTCAAGCCTTGTGGAAGGCAATCAGGTACTGTTGTTGAAGGGAATATAAGAATCTGTACAGAACAGATGCAGTGAGCTCCTCCAGAACTACTAAGCCACGTTTCTCCTGCTTCCTTTATGCAACTTGGATAGGAAAACAGCAGCTGTAATGTTTCAAATTTTCTAAGCTATTTATATGGTTTGTAGATAAGAGCCATCCCCAACAACCAGATCACAAAACTAAGCACTTCACATTTAGCATTGAATACCAGGATTTGGAGCTTGATTTATACTTAGATAATTTTACTTAATTCCTCTTCATCAAAGTAAGGAGTCTGTATTGTGAAGGCAAACCCAGCCTTTTTCCAGTCTAGGAGTAAATGTAAGTACCAGCTACCAATTAAAAGCAGCAAACACTTTGATGGGTATTTTCTTTGGGAGTAAAGATGCTGGTGATTCCCCTCGAGGGCTTCTACCCCAAATTAAGAACTGCTCTCTGAGATGCAATGATGGGCACCAGGTACCCCTGTACTAATGGAGGCACTGAAACTGTTGGACAGAACTTGGCTCTCTGCTCTTGAAAACATCTTGGAAAAATCATACAAAGGAATGAGGACTGTGAGATTCTCTCCAGAAAAAATGTTCCATAAAATGAGAAAATAGTTGCATTAGTAATCTGTGTGACTGATCTTACTCTAGCTGCATTGGCATCTTATTTACTGAGTGCTGTCAGGAACAGGAGACAGGGTTAGAATGAGCTTTGGTCAGCCCAATATGGCAGCTCTTGCTTTCTGATAAAGATCTGAACAGTCAGTACACCCTATGACTAGTCTTAGCAAACAGACACTACAACACCAGGCTCTGCAGAAATAACTGAGTGTGATGCAAATAATGCCACTATCTGGGGAAATGAGTTAATTATCCCGCATCATACTAAAATCACTTTGTGGCTGCTATCTCTTATTTCTGCAGTAACTTATTCCCTATACAGCAGTGGCAACCTACAATGACAGATGATGAAAAAAGAACAGAAATTAAATTGAAAGAAAAAAATAAATAGGCTACAAAAAGAAGAGTATCTGTACTCATCCAGTCCTATATCGTCTTCATTTCTTCTCCCCTGCCACATTTCCACTGACACGAGAGTGTAATTTAGAGTGTCGAGGAAATCCATGTCTGTCTGTGCTGAATTACAGCATTCATATTTCTACTTGTTTGTAGTGAACTGAACTCATAATAAGCCCAGCTATGCAGATGAGTCATATGGACCATCTTTCATTTAACAAGGCATCTTTAAATAACACTCTTACTTCAGTTGTACTCATTAATATCAAGAATCTATGTTTTGCGCCATACTACTCTAATTGCCAGAAATCTGTACTAGTGAATCATTAAAAGGTTAAGATATTTTTCATGCTAAATATAATGTACAGTATTAATCTGCTTTAGTTTGTTATTATGAGTAATGTGATGTCCTGTTGTTGTATCAATTTATAATTCTGCCAGATCACATGGCAGGGGGGAAACAAGAACAACAAACAACAGACGGATGTCATTTCTGCTTAAATTCTCCATGTAAATTACAAATCCATGCTAACTTAGCCTGTACTTTCTTTGCAGAGAACAACATCGAGATGGAATCACGTCAGCACAGCAAAACTTGAGACATCTTTTTCAGTTTAAAAGTAAAGCAATCCGGTGTCTTTCAAACAACACCCAAATCTGCTTTATATTTTCACATTTGAGCCTTTAACCCATTTTTTGATATTACTTCTGAATATAAATCCTAGAGACTAGAGTGAAATACAGATTATCTGAAAAAAGATGAGAAGTGTATAGGACAATTTGATGTGTTCTGACAGTTCTAAAACCACAGCATAAAGCTGATTTTCCAAGACGGGAATGGGTGCTCTTTCCAAAATCCTCAGAGGTGATAAACTTCCCACAAGCAGCATGCATCAGGCACAAAATGTTTGCTCTGTCCCTTCCAGCTCTTCTAAAATGCACTTCTGTAAATGAGAAGCAGCTCTTTCCCTTGGGATGTATTCCAGAATATTTCATGCCAGTTTAATCCTGCTAAACATCAGGGCATCTGTGAGTAAATCCAGAGTCCTTAATGCACACTAAACTGCAATCTGCCACCTCTCTGAGTGGAAGAAAGCAAGCTCTTAAATTCGTCTTCCAAACTAGAGAGCTGGGCTTCCCCTATAATATAGAGGAATAAGGATGACTACATTATGTATGGGTAGTTAAAACACTTAGTAATGTTAAACAAGTTAGTCGTAGCATCACAGTGTTATCTCTGACCACTTTGTTCCTATGCAAATCGATTTCTGTTCATCACAATGAGGCTGATTCAAAGTGAAGTTTCCATGTACTAATTCTATTAGGCTGTTTACCACTGAAAGCATCCTCCTAGGAATTCATTACCTTCTTGTAAGTTTGTTGTACAGCAGGTGACTTCCAAAACACACTCTTACTCTTCTTGTCTTTAGGGAATCACAGAACTGTAGAAGTTGGATGGGACCTCTAGAGATCATGAAGTACAAATCCCTGCTAGAGCAGATTTCCCTACAGCATGTTGCACAGGAAAGCAACAAGGTGTGCATTAAACACCTCCAAAGAAGAAAACTCCATAACCTCTCCAGGAAGCCTGTTCCCTCGCCTCCCTCACAGTAAAGAAGATCTTCCTTGTGTTTTTATGGAAATTCCTGTCTTCCAGTTTTTGCCCATTGCCCCTTGTTCTGTTATTGCACACCACTGAAAAGAGTCCACCCCCATCAACATGATTCAACATGAAAAGTGCATGCACTTTTGATACTAATAAACAGTTACAGAATCTCCTCTCAGCTCTCTCTTCTCCAGGCTGAACAGTCCCATGTCTCTCAGCCTTTCCTCATATGGGAGATACTCCTTGTCCCTAATCATCTTTGAAGCCTTCCACTGGACTCCCTCAAGAACATCTGTCAATGGTTTACAGGCTGGTTCAGCCCGGTTCTGTGACAAGTGGGGTGGAGGGATCCAGAAAAGGGAAACAGGACCCCAGAAAAATTAAAAACAGTGGCAATGATCTGAGGAGAAACAAACTAATTTACTAAATATGGTATGGGAATGCAAGATAACACACTATAATGCAATATAATTAGAATCGAAGCTAATAGATCAAATATACTGAGAGAGTATGTGAAAGGTGGACAGGCCTCACCAAAACACTGAGGTGAGATGCACAGTCCAACTGCACAGCAAGGAGGAGAGCCTGACGAAGAAGGAGAGGTTAGATGACCTACCAAGGCATTATACGTATATCCCTCTGAGCAGAAATGATAACAACACAGAGAACAGTCTTCTGAGGAATGTAGTTCTTTTCTTTGGGGACAGGTACCTGGAACTGGAGCGTTAACACTTTAATTTCCAGTGCACTACAGGATGTTATGACATGGAATACCAATAACCAAAAATCGTAAAACCATGACAAACATCCCTGTTGTTTTTGAACTGGGGAGACCAGAACTGGTCGCAGTACTCCAGATGTGGCCTTAGCAGGGCAGAGTAGATTGGAGATTATCTCACTTGACCTCCTGGCCACACTCTTCTTGATGCACCTTATCATAGAATCACAGAATCATAGAATGGCCTGGGTTGAAAAGGACCACAATGATCATCTAGTTTCAACCCCCCCTGCTATGTGCAGGGCTGCCAACCACCAGACCAGGCTGCCCAGAGCCTTGAATGCCTCCAGGGATGGGGCATCCACAACCTCCTTGGGCAACCTGTTCCAATTCCTCATCAACCTCTGTATGAAAAATTTCCTGGGAAATAAAAACCAAACATATTCTGAAGACTTATCTCCAAAACAGTCTTATGCAGTTGTCCTTTGTCGCGTGCCATACTTTGTAAAGGTAGCTGTTGACAGGTGAAAAAGTTGTGAAAATGGACAGTATTTTTATCCTGATAACAGAGATTGCATAAACAGAAGTCAAGCATTTACAATATTCCAGATCACATAATATTAATAATTGGCACAGAGCATTTTAGAGTAGACACTATTGAAAATAAATTAAGACTTTTCTTGTTTTACATTGTAAGATATTATGGAAAAATGCCAGGAAGCAGAAATACATAAGCCAAACAAAATTTGTTTATATTACCAAAACATGTGGACCATTCCTCATACATTCTGAGAAAGCCAGTATGTTTGGAAGCTATGGCAGATCCTTGTGCAACATCTGCTTCAGAACAATTTTGTGATACAGTATGTTAGGCCAAGTGGAACATGTCTATACATAAACACATCACTTTGTTAAAAACAATATGAAGTTTACATTTATGATAGAAGACAAAACATTCTTTCAGGTAGAACTAGAACCACTATTTTCAGTTAGATATTAAGCTGAACATTCTGACAAAAATAATGAGTATATCACAAAACTAATGAGAAAAGTGCTGTCAAGCAAATAATCTGAAAACCTTATTTACCTTATGCAACTGGTAGTACTGCTCAGCACCTATTCCTCCTTGTTCTTCTCCTGTCCATAGCACCAAGCGCACAGTTCTTTTCGGACGAAGTCCTAAAACGTATGTTAAAATGTTATCTCTTGGTATTAGTGTTCATCATCTTCATATTCATCTATCTGAACATGTTTTGCATTGGTCTCCATTGTGCAATGGCAGAAAAACCTGAGTTTCCATTCAATGACCTCTATCTTCCCCAAACACAAACTACACAAGCTACCACAAACTACTGTACTGTGTCCAGATCTGGGGACTGCAATATAAGAAAGACAAGAAACTGTTACAGAGGGTCCAGAGGAGGGCCACAAAGATGATCAGGGGACTGGAGCACCTCTCAAAGACAGGCTGAGGGAGCTGGGCTTGTTCAGACTGGAGAAGAGAAGGCTGCAGGGTGACCTCATTGCAGCCTTCCAGTACCCGAAGGGAACCTACAAACAGGAGTCAAGTCAACTCTTTACACGGGTAAATAATGGCAGGACAAAGGGAAACAGTTTTAAATTGAGGGAGGGAAGATTTAGGTTGGGTATCAGGGGGGACGTTCTTTTCTATGATAGCCCTCATAGAAAAGAGAGTGGTGAGGTGCTGGAACAGGCTGCCCAGAGAGGTTGTGGATGCCCCGTCCCTGGAGGTGTTCAAGGCCAGGTTGGATGGGGCCCTGGGCAGCCTGGTCTAGTATTAAATGGGGAGGTTGGTGGCCCTGCATGTGCCGGGGGGGGTGGTTGGAGCTTAATGATCCTAGAGATCTCTTCCAACCCAAGCCATTCTGTGAGACTTCTAGTGTGGGTTTTGTTTTCCAGACTACTCTTTGCTTGTCTGTAGGAATGACTGGAGAGAAAGGAGCAGATTGTTGTGATGCTGCTACCAGTTGCCTCTCCTGCAGTAGCACGGGAGAAGTACATTTGTGGAAAACGCTGCAGGTATCTACAAAACATAACACAAAAATAACATGAAATAACTGACAAATTTCTGACATATATTCTGTCTTTCTGGTGGTCTGCAGTAAATAATGTATGTATGCTTTCAGCAGATTCAAATCAAATTTTCATGAGGGCTGCCATTTTTCATCAAGGTTAATTAATTGGATACAAGCTATTGGATATTTCCCCTTCTCTAAAACTGAGAGACATTACAATATTATTTTGCTTTTTATCAGACAAATGACAAGCAATTTGTACTCTGGAACGTAAAATACATTTGGCTACTGAATGTATGCAAAGCAAGGCAAACACAGGGCCATTTAGTATTTTGCTGTGATAGTTCAGTTTTCAGATATATTTTGAAGCTGTTTCTGCCATGGCAGAATTGAACAGATAGACATTGTTTATTTATTTGATTAATTATACTCATAAATGAATACATTCAAGACATCAAGTCAGAGAGCACAGAAGAGCAAGAAGACCAAGAACAAATAGTGCTCTCTGCTGATTTCACTTCAGCAAAAATAACCCCCTCAAAAATGTTAAAAAAATACACACATAAAACACACAACCAAAGAGAAGCCATATAGGAGAATATAATAAACAGTAATGCATAAATGACTTCCCACACTTTTGTGTTGAGGAGAAATAATATCAGCATCACTGTGAAAATGTGTTTTCCTAGTTGAAATGGATGATGCTTACAAATAGATCTGATCTTCATTACCTTTTTTTTCTCTCAATCCAATGAAAATCAGCTGAAGGTTTCTCTCTATCAATTCTATTAGATATCAGCTGAAGGTTTCTCTCTATCAATTCCATTAAAAATTCGAATAACTGAAGACAGAGTGTAAAATAAGTACTCAAAATCTGAAAAAAACACCTTGGATTGTACATTATTTCAATAAAAAAGGAAGATGGAGAACAGAATTAGGGGATTAAATATATTTTCTAAATGTCTATTTGCTGACTGTAAACAGTAAGGTCATCGGCCCTCATTATTTTAAAGCAACTCTCCCTCCCCCCTCCCCCCCCCACCCAAACCCAGCAGATTTCCTGCTCTCCTCCTAAATCATTACTGCACAGGATTAGCCTCCTTTGCATTTCAAATCAGCCAGATGGCCAATAAGGGAAAATTAAGATGCTAAAATAGTAATTGTGCTGACGTTAGAAAGTTTTCAGACACAAAACAACCCCAAATGTGTCAATGGCTTGGTTACAAAAAGTAGCAATTCATTCACAGCTTACGCACCCAACAGAGGTTCCAGTGAACGGTTAGGTGTGTCATATCACAAACTGCAACTACTGAAGTCTCATATCCAGCCCACTACACTACAGCTGCGAAAGCAGCAGGGCAGGAGATGCTCAAGACAGGAGAGCAGCATCTGCTGTCTGCTCCCAGCCATGGGAGATCAAGACCTGTTAGTCCACAAGTAAAGAAGTTCAGGTCTGCCACTGCTGCTATAACTCTGGCTGCTTGTGCTTGCTAAACCTTGAGCAGATCTCGGCTCACAGCCCCCTTAGCCTGCCATTGCATCTCTCCACTGAAGTAGAGGGGGAAGATGTCCTGCTGAGCTTTGCTCTTTCTACTGCTGGAGGCAGTGTAGCAGCTCTTCCAACCCCAGAGCTCAGAGATCTCTGTGAGGAGATTCACTGTGTGCTTTACTGAAGCAAAACGGGCAAGCTTAAAAAATAAAATAAAATAAAATAAAAACCCAGACCATAACCTCTGGGTGCGTTCATTTTAAATACAAAGTATATAGAAGAAAATTTCATTTCCTCATTATCTGAAAGTGATAATGTATTTATCTACTTGTTATTAACAACACAGGTATTCTGACCAAAGTACATCAAAAATAAATCCAATATTCACAAGTAAAATTACAAAGAATATTCTGAATGCGTGCCTTTATTGAAAGTATGAGGTATTATACTTAAATTACAATCTTTTTTTTTTTTTTCTTTTTAATAAAGTCTAACTATTTTGGTTTGCTTCTTAAAAACTACCTGTCCCTAAGCAAGAAAACACCATCAAAAAATAAGAAGTCTTGCAGATCACAGCACAAATGCATACTGAAAAGACTGATAAAATACCACTTGGACCACAAAACTATTTTCTGTGCTGAGTGTATCAAGTACAGAGGAATGAAGCAAATTTTACAGTGAAGGAAAACGGTTTCATATATAAAACAGTATCTCTCTCCTTTTTGAAATATGACAGTCTAAAACAAAGGACATCAGAAGAAGTTTTTTTTCAAGTTTCTGGAATATTAAAGTATATGGATAATTTTAGAAAATGCAGGAGGTTATAACTGTATCCTGCATCACTGCAAGGACCCTCTTGTGGCCTTTTTGGGTCACCCAGAACTGAAATTAACTAAGTGGCAGTTGCAGAACTCAGCACCTACTCAAAACCACCATAATCCCACCGCCTCCATCCTACTGCAGTATTCCAGTAAAAACAATAGCAGAAGCTTTACAGGACAACATTCAAAACATGACAGCAGGTACACAAACAAAATGTTCTTTTTGAACTCACATATCTTAAACTAAAGCCAAAACATATATAGATATTCACTCAGATATGGATTAATTTATGAACCTTCACACTTTCAGTATTAAAAAAAATGAAGTATCTTTTTTTTTTTACCTTACTCTTTACAGGGAAACACAGTCATAATTTAGCACAAAGGTGCATTTGGGTGATCAGTTCCTATACATTTACAGTTTATCCCAAGTAAAATAAATACTGTAGGGCATCTTATCTCATAAGTTAAAACATGAAACAAAAACATTCCCATAGTCCATCAGTGACTGAGGATATGTGTAGTAAGTACACCAGGACATGTCTGTATTGTACTTCCTCAGTGCTGGAGTTGCTGACAGCCCTTTTGCTGTCTCCAGTGCTGTACTTCTGGATTGCCCTGACCAGTATGGTCATACTTTGATGTAGCTATTAATGATTTCGTGTTCTCTTTCTTTTAAATGACCCTAATGTGTTCAAGACTTGCAGAAGTCAGCAGCAAGCCTAGGTTAGCCAAAATATCAAATGCTTGTGACAAAGAAGATCTATAATTGTACTAAAGGTATTAACTATTCATCCTGATTTCAACCATCAACTGCAATGAAGTATTTTGCAAAAAGCCTTTTTTTTGTAATTCACATAAAGTGTGAGTGCCAGCAAATAACATGGGAAAGTACACATATGTACACATGCATATATATACATTTTACATCAATTTGAAATAGAAAATGGATATTTTCCAGACATTACAATGCTTATTAAATCCACATAGGTTCCCACAGCTGTGGATGACCTATATGTGACAGGGCAGTTAACAGGGCACTATGCAAAATCTGCATTTTATGTCCTACGCATCTTGC